GCCTCGTCGATTGACCGCAGATGAACGACTTTGGGGCACACACTTTGGCTGACAAATGCCTTCTAAGGACGCCAGCTGCAAAGGCTTGCGGTTCTGCAGGCACGACCACCTTCACTACGAAAGGTCTTTATTCCAGTAACGACCTTTCGTGTGTTTTCTTCATATGTGAGACTTAAGTAGGACGCCTTGACATTATGTACCTTTTGCTTAGGCGACACCTTAATGTGCGCAGCGATGCTGAAAACGGACAAAGTTCATGTACTTTAGTAAACGGATTTGTTTTCGTTGCACTGTGTCAATCTACTAGGCGTGGTTGCAGCGAACAAACCGTCCTTTCCTGTGTCCTGCTGGTGGCGCGTGTGATTCAGCCTTCGGCCGGTCGTACCGAGACTCCGATAGATATTTTGGCCTCTAATGCTTTACCACAACTAACATCACCCCCGCTTGCGAACACAACAGAAATAACTGACATTCTTACTGTCTGGATCTTTGTTGACGCCGTCATCTGTGCTTCCTCTACGCTCTCAGCTGCAGTAAAGACCGTCCTAATGACTGTTTCCCCGACTTTTGATCTGGGTAACTTCTTGTTGTCAGCACTCTTACCTCGGCAGTTCTGGTGAAAAACCCATCTTACATGCAGAGTGGTACTCTGGGACACCCATTTCCCAGGGGCCGCCTGCAACCCCCACCCTACTCGCCTCCTTATCCACAATCGAACGGTATTTCTGTCCGTTGGCTTCACTTTATAAATCCAAAGCCAACATCTTCCAGCATGTCAATTACCCACCAGAACTGTGGCATCTTCGTTACGCTCGAGGGCTTACTGTGCCCAGTGCGCATGCAAATGTCAGAAAATTTTTGGGTGAGCGCTAAACGCCGCTAACATGCTGGAATCGGAAAGTGGCCGTCACGCCAGTTCGGAGTCAAGCGCGTCTCACATACAAGTCTGGTGAACTATCTCGAAGGTACAGTGCGTGACCGATGTCATTAAATGTGAACCGAAATTCTGCAATGTGTTTTCGATTAGGAAGGATTACTTAGATGAAGTTGATTAGCATGCAGCATAATCCCATAGTATTTCGGACTCATCAGGATGTCGGCTATTGAATGTACTTCTTTTTGGCCTCCTGCAGAAACCACACTCGGCAAAAAAGTGACTACTTAAATAGCATGCATTTTACCTATTGATTTTCGATGGTCTTATGAATTCGAATACATTTTATAGAAAACATGCACACAAGTATGCTTTCTTTCACTCCTTTGGTAGAAAATCCCATTGTCTTTATAGTTTATATCCGAAGAAAGTGTATATTTAGGTTTTAAAAAAGGTTCTAATTATGAGATTTTTAAGACCGTGCATACAGGACCGCACATGTCCGTTTACCAATGCTCCCCATGAAATGTACAACATAGTCCGGACCCATTGTGAAATTTAATGAATTCGATGTCATATCTTCTGAAAAGCATAAAGGAATCTATGATTTCCCTTACGCGGAAAGCATGCATCTTGTAGACTGAAATCGCTAAACTCTAATGCAATGGCAGATCGGGCTCAAAATTATTCGGGAATCGGAAAACTTTTTTTAAAACCTAAATATACACTTTCTTCGGATATAAACTATAAAGACAATGTGATTTTCTACCAAAGGAGTGAAAGAAAGCATACTTGTGTGCATGTTTTCTATAAAATATATTCGAATTCATAAGACCATCGAAAATCAATAGGTAAGATGCATGCTATTTAAGTAGTCACTTTTTTGCCGAGTGTGGTTTCTGCAGGAGGCCAAAAAGAAGTACATTCAATAGCCGACATCCTGATGACTCCGAAATACTATGGGATTATGCTGCATGCTAATCAATCTTACAATTTCATCTAAGTAATCCTTCCCAATCGAAAACACATTGCAGAATTTCGGTTAACATGTCATGAGATTGATCACGCACTGTTGTGCAATTTTGTTTGCTCAGTGGTCTTTCGGCTGTGGCTTAAACAACGCTTCGTGTTTCTTCCACTTTAAGTTAACATCATGAAGATGCGAATTCTTCGACGTGAGCATGGGAAGGGCATCTTCACACATTTTTTCTAAGGAGCGCGATTAAATTTGTGGTTGCATCTAAAATCGACAAAAAGGGCGTACATCGTGAGTAAAAAATAATCCTGGGTATAATTTACATAGAGGACTTCAAAGATCCTCAACCAGAAGACAGACGGTTTTCGTGATTTGACTGACTTGGGATCGCATTTGTGTGGTGCGTACTAGTCTGTCCTGATTTTAGGACGGGAATTGACACCTCTGCTTGAACCAGAAGGCAAGGTTCTGTAACCCACACTGGTGATCGCACGATGACTAGCAATTAATAAGTAAGATTTTTAACGATAAAGACAGGGACACCAGGATGTTCATTTCTGACTTATGTACCTTAATGAGTCAGCTATCCTCGAATCTTAGGTTACATACTCGGGGGTTTTTACTTGGACTATCAATGACACCTTACATTAAAAAAAACAGAAGTGAACATCTCTATTGTCCTTGGCTTTGTTGGTAAAAACTTTTTGACCATTTCTAGGATGATCCGTCGATGTTTTATGACCTACGGCACAGACTGTCCACCGAGAGGTATTACCGCTAAGGGGAAGGGAGACTGAATTATCTATTTCTAGCTGATTTTACCCCATCGGCCAAACATACGTCAACCCGACGTCGGGCGGACCCCAGGTATATATCCGGGTACAGTTAATTATTCAGGCAAAAGTCCAGGTTTAAGGGCAGGACGTTAGCTTAATGACCAGAGTAGCCCAGTCAAAACCCGGGGTTAGACAGACATAAGGTTGTGGTGCAACTGACTGACGATAGCAGATAATGCATACTGACTCAACTGTGAAAAACTCGGCACCTCGGTGGGATTCAAACTGAGGCAATAAGGGGAAGGGTTTACTACAGCCAACGCTCTAACCACTTGAGCTACGAGGCCCCACCGGACGACGCGAGTTTAATCACATTTGGGTCAAGTTACCCGCCCAACTACTGCAACGTCTGGAATCCACCAAATCGAATACAGTAAATTGACTGTCCAAGCAGGATTACCTAAGTGATTCACCTAGAATCTACCAGATGACTACCAGTCTCACGTAATTCATAGATATTTTGGACGTGATTAAACTCGCCTCGTCCGGCGGGGCCTCGTAGTTCAAGTGGTTAGCGCGTTGGCAGTACTTAAGCCTTCCCCTTACTGCGTGGGTTCGAATCTCACCGAGGAGCCGAGTTTTTCACAGTTGGGTAAATATGAATTATTCAAAATCTGCCCAATATTTATGGATAGCAGATAAGCCAACAAAAACCATTTCAAGCAACTCCGTCATCGTCCTTATTACTTATCGACCATTAACTGCTCGTTTTCATGCGACTTCTAAATCCGGATTCTCAACACGAAGTGGGCACGTTCGGGACAGATCGACAAACGCGATTCCCAGATAGCTTTACATTTCTCCCTTAGAAACAACATTAAGCAGATGCCCGTGACGAACCCCATAAAGTTGTTTTTCGTTATTTTACCCTCGTGCGTCCTTACCGGCACCTGGTCCCTAAAATCTGTCGATGTAACAAAGGACAGGGCTTAATCGGCCCAGTGCTCGAGGTGGAGCCGGTTATTAATCTCAGCTTAATGGGCAAAGGTGACTGTATCCAGCGCTTCGCAATGTCGCCGATCGCGTGCTTTGGTCTTCCTCATTCATGCCGTGGACCTGTGTAGCAGCCTGCTCTCACGGTCGTCAGCATGACCACTTACCCATGCCGCCTTCGGTCGGCCTAACACGCCTGTCAAACTGCTTGTACCTGCGCGCGGGCGCGTGAATCAGCCTTGGGTTAGTCGGCCCTGTGACGCTGATCGATATCTGTCTTCATCGATTGGTCGCAATCGCACAAAACCCAGGGGCGGGCGGGCGTACTTCGCAAGTGAGCGAGCAACTTAAACGGCTGACTCGGATGAAGAGAGCACCTGCCGCCTCGGACTGCACGCTCTCCCCTCAGCAAAGTTTGTCCATCAAACTGTCATCCCTGCCAGCGAAGGAAAAAGATGAATCACCTGTTAGGACGTTGGGTATCACTAGATTACAGGATCAGCTAGCAGTGCTCGTGAGCTACGTTGTCCTCAGTCACTGGTACCTGAGGCGGATCAGTCGTTCTCATTCTGTCGCAGGGCGAAGTTTGCAGGAAAACAACTTTGAAGTCTTCTCCCAGCTGGTGCCCTTCGCACTGACTGGTTCGAAATCGAAAGAGCTTTCTAACAGCTGTTTCACATTACCCTTCACGAGGACCTGATTTGCTTTTGCTGCCCTGTGTAACTTGTAGGCTTGACTAGAAGGATGACCCCAGACATCATAGCTTGGTTTCAGAGTTCCAAGCAGACCGGCTGTCACGCTGCCCACGTCCAGTCCTATGGCAATGGTAAACTTCTCCGAACCGACAATGTAGTCTGCATTGAACCGATCCATCAGCGGGAAAAGGCTGTGGCAGAAGTTAACGAGGGTGACCAAGTGGTCCACTGCACCCATGTTTTGCAACCTCACCTCCATGTTGATACCAGCAGCAACCATGTAGGTGTCGTTGAAACTCTTCAATTTCTCCACATCCTTAAACTGCGGTTGTCGCAGGTGGCGGTCCAGCATACAGAGGATTTTGTTCAGCAGTCCCAACGCCTGTTTACCACCCTGATAGTCCTCGCGGTAGTAGCCGTCAAAAAAGTTTGTGATCCGAATAAAGGCAATGCCAGCGAGCTGTACGAGTACAGCATGGTTGACAACATCGGACTCTAGTTTTGTCCGTCCCTGGGCCTGAAGTATGTTGAAGACATACTCTGGGACGAAGTTATGTAAGAGGTCATCGCAGTCGTTGATGGCCGTCAGGGCATTCCTATAAGCCTTTTCTGCTTCCACATTCATGCAGAAGGCGAGTCTGCAAGATGACTCATTCCTACGACTCACACCAATTACCAGGACCCAGGCCGCAAACAGAACCACTGCCGGGCCCAGAGTTTGTGGCTGGAAGCGTGAGGACTCGTAGAACCAGCCGAACTCAGTGCGGTCAATCTCGTTGGAAGAGTCCTTGGCATAGACAAAGAGCAGAGTCTCTATGGTCAGTGTGGAAATGCTGCTTGCTAGGACGCGAATCCAAAAACGTGAATTCATTGGCAGACAGTGAATGAAGATGGAGTAGGTGCCGAAACAAAGGATAAAGTGTTCGTGCCTCACTGAGAAGCGTCCTGTACGAATACATATGTAGTAGATGGTCGTGAAAATGGTCGGTATCTGGGCAATAAAAAATAACATAATTTCGAAGAGTTTGCGTCGCCTTCCCCACATTATCAGCTTTCTTTTTAGCCACCCGCCTGTAAAACTGGCATCCTTGACGAGTACGGAAAAGACGATCCAGAAGGTGGCGGGCAGTATGCCGAGGAAGTTTATGGCCATTGCAAGGATGGAGAGCACTCCGCCCGAAGTGTTGTCAAAGGCCGTGGCGATGAGAAAGCAGACCGCGAAAGCGGTCAAGTAGAAGAAAAGAACCACCATGTCGAAGGCCGGTGCCACTTTCAAAGAGTCAATATAAATGGGCTTGGTTCTGTCGTACTCCTCCAGCCAGTACTGTTCCTCCATGGTCGGATCCAAGAACTGCAGCCCCAGGGCGTCGAGGGGGTGGGCTCGAAAGAGCTGTGCTTGCTGGTCTGGATCAGAACGCAACTGTTGAATCAGCTCAAGATCCTTCGCGTTTAAAGCGCGAAAATCCCTGAGAGACTTCGAGAAATCCTTCTGTGCCACAGGCTGGCCGAAGAAGGACTTGCGAACGGAGGGTTCACGGTCCTCACCCGGGGGTTTGTTCCATGGATTTCTCACAGTCCAGTGGTTTACTGGTCGCGGCCGGCTGCTCAAATGACGAATGTGCGAGCTTTCGCGCCGGCACCCAGTTGTCTCGCTTAAGGCCTCCTTGCTCACCCCACTGATTTCAGATATGTCTTCGCTAGAGCTCTTCTTCAGTGACTCCAACTTGACGCTGAAGGCTGATTTGATTTTGCGTTTTAGCCTTTTGTCGTCCAGAAGGTTCCGTGACGTAAGCTCAAGGTAGAATGTGGGTATTTTCACAGTGCTCAGTTTCATGCCTGCGATGGCGGACACCTCCTCGCGCTTAGCCTCGATCGTCTGTGCCGGAGTGGTGATGTAATTTGAGGGAAGTAAATCTCGCAGAGCACTGGAGATGTGAATTTTTCCTGGCGGGCACGAACTCTGGAGGTGCTGGGTAGTGTTCACATCGTAGGAGTAGATATCAAAGCGAAATCGTTCTTCTCCGAGTACTGCCGCGTTCACATGGCCCGTGTGGATTCCAACAGCTAGTGATAGGCTCATCCTGAATTTCGCATTGACGGACTTTATGGACCGCATCATGGCCAGAGCCAACTCTACACAGGAGATAGCATGATCAGCGTTGGGCTCCGGGCAACCAGAGACGCAGTAATAGGTATCTCCCAGAGTTGATATTTTTTCACACTTGCAGTTGGAACAGAGGGTGTCAAACTCGGTAAACATGGTGTTCAATATGGTCATGACGCGATAGGCCGTGTATTGCTCCACCAGGCGGGACATACCAACGGCATCGGCTATTAGAATGGAGACAGGTTGATAGGACTCGCAGAAGAGCCATGTAGACCTTTCTCGACCCCTATTCTTCAGCAACATCTCCAGATACTTAGTATGAATCTCCGGTGGCATCACCACATCGAACCACTCCAGTTGCTGCCGCATAGCCTCTTTCTTTCGAGCTCGGGCCTCAACACCCTGGCAGAGTCGCAGAAAGGCCGCCTTGAAGCGCAGCTCGTTGTAGCCACTGACGTAGATCGACAGACCCGTGGTAGAAACGACCTGGAGCAGAATAATAAGCGATTCCACGGCAGGATTGCCCGAGCCCGACTTGTGGCCATCAGAGGTATCCCAAGGATGCTTAGGTATTTCTTCCTGATAGGAGTCTACCGCAGACAAACCAACACCAACAAAAATCTGGAAACAGAAGAGGAAGGATGTGGGGATCTGGAGGTTAGTGTGACTCACAAAAGCCAGCAGGAGGATCAGGGTGTGTTGCAGTGAAACTTCAACTGTCATGCTGCAGAAGGTCGCCAGGATGCAGACGCCGATGGTGGTTATGAGGGTGATGGACAGATAGCGATAAACCTCGACAGAAAGGGCCTTGACACTGACGAGGTAGAGGACGCCAATTTCCAGGAAACCAGTAAAGATCAGGGCTTCGGAAAGCTCGTTGCCACCAACGGGTAGGCGCGAATAGAATACCATTAGGACAATGCAGAGTACTAAGCTGGCATAGGTTAGGGCCATTCTGAAGCCGCTTTTTATGTGGGGTAAAGTTAATTTGTCGAAGAAATCGCTAAGGAGAGGGGTCCGGAGTCCAAGGAAATACCTGATGTCGGCAATACTGCTCACCAGGCGTTGAGCTTCTGTTAACGTCGAGTCATCTTTTACGTCCAGAATGTCAGTCAATTGGTGACCGAGTAGGTTACCTTCCTTCATTCCAGCTACGCAGACTGCGCTTCAGTCTGTACGGCGAATTATTTGAAAGTATTGATTACATTGGAGTGCAGCGACTGTGGTCAATAGGGAAATTAGGCGAAGCGTTTTAGGCACACGCTAACAGGTGATGTACAGATTACCTGGAATATTTAACAAGATGGAGGCTACACCAGGCTCGCAGCTGGTAGTCATAACCGTGAGCTCGCAGAGATGCTTCTGGGGCATCGTGAATTCGGGTGGGAAAATGGAGTTCGAGTCCTGTCGCGCAAATGCATTTTTAGCCTCCGCAAGCATTGATCAGATTTGCAGAGATTCCCGATTTTCTGAAGTCGGCGTTTGGAAAGGTGCTTTAGTCATCCGCGACAACTATCATCGAGCGGAAAGGCATTGCTTTTTGCAGAAAATGGTCATGGCGCACTGAGTGGCCAGATCAAACAAAACTGGGCCTCGAGTAGGTCAACAAAATATAGGACAGAAGCACTCGAGACATTGGAACGATGTTTTTTTGCGTAGGGTCTGAAACCGTAATCACAATCAACCCTACGTCGAAAACGCGCGCAAAAGGTCTTCCTTGATAGCAAATGGCCGATGGAAAGGTCCTCGACATGGAGCAGCCGGTGACGGAATTGGCCAGGGGAGAACTCAAATTCCAAAGTCTGCTTTTAAAGCAAAGACTAAGCACATATAACAGAGTTTCAGACTAACTCCCGCAAGGTGGGATGCCGCTTTTCTATCAACAAAATGACCAACCGACACGGGAAACACAACTATTTAAGTAGCATACCGTCTGTTATTGGCTTTAATGACCGTACAAAGTCAGTTAATCTTCACAAAACCCGCCTAAGAGGCTTTCCCTAACCTAGTCGTTTCAAACGGAATTAGTGCGCGGAGCCACACCTACCTTAGTTTTGAGGACTTCGGCAATTGGCATTCTTTGCCGCATGAGATCTCGAAGGGCTATTCTTAAGCGCAAAACGACAAAAGAGTGGACCTGTTATCACTTCTCTTTAGGACATACGAACTTTATATAAAGGCAACGGCAATTAGTGGGAGCGCATATGCCACTGAGTGAGTGAGTGAGCATACTCTGGCGGTGAAGGAGGGGGGAGGGGCTGTGTGCAAATAGCGGACAATCCAACTTGAGCTTGTGGCCCCTAGACGCCAGTATGCCAGTCACATTTCAATAATACACTTTCAACAGCATATCCCTCGCGGGCTGTCGCTGTGAAGGTCAACTGACATTTGCGAAGAGGTCTCAGTCCCCTTGTTTCTAGATTAGGGCCACTACCCTACACGGTGACCAGAAACTCTCAGCTCTGTGAGTGTCTTGAACTGCGAATCAAGCTATAACCTCTTCGCCTTTGCAAATTGCAGTTAGCACAATATGAGAGATTCTTCCGCTGGAATATGCACCGGACGTGCCTGAATGGTCATAGCACGTCGTGCTCTACGCCTGAACTAACATTAAACTCAGACCAGGGAGATAAAATAACCCTCTGTCGCTAGTTAACTGTCAGTCTCGCATTATTTCCTCATTCTCACGCATCGCTAACTCATTTTTCTGCAACGTTCGGTTGTCTCGAAGAAGTACTGTTTCAGGGCAGTTTAGTGACACTTTGTTCGAATTTTTCGCCCTTTGTACTTATGATTATTCATGTCTAGATTACAGGCGACGTATTTGCGATCTGTTTTAAGTCCTACCTCGGTGTTTCCTGAAGTTGGGCATGTTTCGCGACGCTCGCTAAGGCCCAGGTCCCCAGGGCAGCGAATTAATCCTGCAGCATCCGCACACTATTCACTGCATTGTGCGGGCAACTACTCTAGGTTCTACCTGGTTAGAAGACAAACCGAAAAATATGTCGGCGGTAGAGATTAGGGACACTGCTGAGTTCATTTCCTGTCGGTCGCCAGTCACGAATGTCCCGACCCCAGCTTCTGGCATGTCTGACTGAAGATCCGTCCGCCAACTTATTTAAAACCCTGCTCCTCCGATAAACTATTAGAAACCGCCAGCAGTATTAATCACGTGGGCTAGTTTGATATTCTTTGCTGATGACTTGGGGCTTGGATGTCTGCTACAGAAGAGTCGACTTAAAAGATCCGAAGACCTCTTAAGCCTCGCTCTCCCTAGCTAATCAAGAGGGGGGGGACGGTGGACAACGCACATACACCGCCCTTCCTTCCTTTTGACCCGTTCCACAAATTTCCGGTGTTGTGCGGCTTCACCGTTAGCAGTAACGGCGGAATCACCCTGAACAGCAACTTCCTAAGGGACAACAGAAACGAGTCGCGACAGGACGAATGAAGTGTTCGAACCGTATTACCACCGGCATCTCTTCATTGTTAAAGGGGAATCCTCTACAACTTTGCAAAAAAGCGGCAGACGAGCCAGGCCCAGCCAAAGTCAAGTCACAGAGCAACCAGAAGTCTGACAGACGCTGGCATAAACTGTCATTTGCGTTAAGACAGTTGCTCTTCTACGAACTCTGGGAATCGGTATGGCTCACAGACATTTGACCATGAGGCCCAGGGCGTGCCTGTCACAATGTAAACTGGCGGACGTCACGTCCACCGGTCCCACTGTAACTCATGAGAAATTAAATACGCCGGAGTGGTCGCCGAACTAACGACCCACATGGAGGAGCACTCCAGGGCAGTGAGGCAGAACACTGACCGCAAATCGAAAGTATAGTAGTAAAAAGGATGTACAGGTCTTGCGTCCAAGGATCTTAACTCCTTGTCCTACAAGTTCAACAATTAACTAGGTTACAAGAAGAACCAGTCCGTATAAATCATCAGGAAAGGGTCCCGTAGCGGTAGGAGTCCGAGGACACGTCTGGACCGCCAGCGCCATTGGCGGGGGCCTGAGGAAGGCACAGAGGTTTGGACCGACAAATAACAGTCACCCGCCGATCGCGAATCACAGGACCAGGATGGCCGGGCAACTCACCGGGGCTGGGCAGGATGGCGTGTGTCATGCGATAGCGACTGACACCACGCATTACGTAGACTGAGCGCCGGGGCACGAAAAGATCAGTAAAGGCGCCCGGTGGGGGAAGCTGGAGGCCTGGACGACTGGCCGGCAGCTGCTCAGTCAGGGCGGCCACCTCAGAGGGACTGGCTATGGCCAGTCGTGCGATACTGTCAGAAAGCAGAGAAACGACAGCAATCACACCGCCACAGTACTAAAAGAGACAAAAAAGAGTGGGGGCGGTTCCTCATCATGAGAAAAAGTGGGTTAGATCGCAGTTGGTAGTCAGGAATAGAGAGGCGGACAGCCAGGTCCCTGTCGTACGGGAATGGTGGGAAAGGTGGTTAAATGGGTGGGGTAAGTGGAAGGGCTGGTAGAGGAATGCTGGAGTTTCTGAGTAAAAGTATAGTTACCAGGGAAAGTGCTAGTAAGTTTTAAGTAGGTGGAATAATGGCAGAAATTTAAATCCTACACTTAACCCTAAAATCCAAACCTGACCGCAACCGTAAAGCCTAACCATAGGCCTCAAAACCGAAACGTAACCAAAATCCTAAAACCCAACGCTAACCCAAAACCTAGCCATAACCGTAACCCTAACCTTGATCATAACCTTAAGCCTAACCCTAACCCCAACATTGAAACTTGATCCTAAAACGCAAACCCTAATCCTAAAACTTAACCTACGCCTAACCCTAACCCTAACTAAACCCAACAGCCTGACCGAAACGGGCGACCTGCCTAACTCAGTAAGAGCACACCTATTAATAACAGGTTCCCTGGACAAGGTAAGCACACCTACTGATAACAAGTACGTACGTCGGCCGTATCAATGTATAATGTCTGGCTACCAACTGCGACCTTACCAAAAAGTGCTATGATAATAATTATACTCCGCAAGGCCGCCACCATCACCATTACTGTCGCCGCCGCCGTCGCCAACGCCATCATCGTCAGCGACAAGAACAACAGAATCAACAATAGAAACGACCGCGGGGCAACCGTCACCGCGGGAACTGGGCCACCGGCAAACGCCGAACCTAAGGTGAGGTAGGTAAGGTGTGGTATTGTGCGGCTGCCAAGACGGATATTCTGAAGAACACCCGAACTACCTGCCCAAGAAGAGTCTACGGGGAACATGGAGAAACACTAAAAATGTAAAATCTTCTCGGGGAATGAATAAGAGATCCTTATTCGACTACGGGGTGGCCATCATACAAATCTTCGCGACTGCTAAGGGAAAATCGACTGCAACGACGACGATGTGAGCAGAAAATGTGGCATTGGGGCGGAAACTAATGAGCACGTACTCGTAGCACCTTGCTTTCGGTGAATCCCTGAGCCGGACTGGAACTTTTGTAGGGAGATTCAAACACCCAAAAAACGATGAAAACCTGAAGACAGTGATAAAGTCCACACTATACCACTAGACTACTTATCAGTATCTAGGTGGTAACGTCCAAAACTTCCGTCACTCCAACTGTACAAAACAGTTTACAATTGGCCGCCGGACGGTTAACACAAATTTGAATCTACTGGCATAGGTAAACCTCCAGTCAAGGAAACTAGCTCCAACAATGAGAAAACCACGCCGGATCAAATAGCCCTGCGGTGTCTAGGGCATAACAGATAGGATGTTCGATGTAGCAGCTGTGAAACCCGGGTAAACACGACAGTTCAACCGTCGTTGCCGACGATGTCCACCGTGAACTACACAGCTAGGTGCAGCAGGCACGGTGACTTGAGCGTGAATGAGTTTATAGCGATAGTAGACTAGCACAGCATCTACCACACTCTCTCTTCCCCACTCCCAACCTGGACCCGGTGTCAAGACAGAGTCAAGAAGACCGGGTACACACACACTGCATCGTTCTGCCAATCGTGTCGACGAGCCCCCAGCCCCAATCCAAAAGTCGGACAAACATTCACCTACTGCACGTCCTCTGGGTTAACTCCATACACAGACGGTTTCTTACAAAACACAAACAACAACGACAGCAGCATCCTCACTACCCTCGTGGCCATAGTCGGAAATATTATTCCGAAAAACCAGGACAAAACGCAACTTACCCGGACACTGTCGACGTGGGGTTTTATCCAGCCACTGGGCGCCAGATCCAAAACGTGGATCAGTGGAAGCAGGTCAGAAAAGCCACTGGTTTCCGGAGCGCCTTCGGGCTTTTTGTCCTCCTTTTCAGTGTTAAGTGTAAGCTGTTTTAACCGCTCCAAGACAGGTTGGTTAATTTTTCTCCAGTTTTTCTTCTCGGTTTCCCTAAAGTTCTCAATGGCCTAGAAAAACAGAAGAATTCGGAGAGATCTAACTACTGCTGGTGACTGAAAGGCGGTTTCGAGCGGAATAGTAGTTCGCACTTGACGGTAACCATTCGTAAGCAGTCGATAAAGGAAGACTTAGGACTGTCTGCTCGTAACACATGCTCTTAGTTGCCTCACTGTAGGAAATCTGATGGGCTATAAAACTATCATGTAGCATTAACATACGTGTCGGACGGACCTCACGCCATACCCTCTTTCTCATACGAATGAAGAGTCCACGTCAAACTGACCACAATGGCCAGTGTGGCGAGAAGCCAAGCCTGCGTGGTTTCGCCGTGACTTAGGACCAAGGGACAGCTCGGTCTGGCAGGAACTTCCACGATCTGAGGTCCAGAGGAAAACATAACGGGCTTCATCCATTCTCTAACCAGGCTAGATCACATGCGACAATTCCCATATTTATAACCAAAATTAAAAGTCAGAACCTCGCTAGGCGCAAGTGACTGGAAGCTACGACCCCGGCCGAAGCTGCCACAGATCCCTGTTCAGCCACATAAGTAGAGGCCGTTGCTTGGCTGTCTGCAGTAGGGGAACCCACCAACCGACCCTGCTTGCGTCGTGCCAGACGAGGGACATCATCGTCTGACGGGGTGATGCTTCGATTCTAAAAACGGAAACTGGCACAGCATCGGAACCAAGCTTTCAGCTCTAGACGTGTTCCAGTGGGAAAAATGTGTCAAGACGACGACTAGGCTCCATCCGGACACGTGTTCAGTACGGGATGACAAAGTGGGTTGCGACTTGATGACACAGCACCACCCATGTTGGGGGCCGGTAGTGAGTTTGAACAGATAAAATGGGTTGGGTCGTGTAGCTTGGATACAGGCCACGTTCCGCAGATGAATCTTCCGGCTGAATGGAGCTTAGGCTATGCAAAGCGGATTGTCAATAATAAGTACTCAAGAGACCATCTACGGTGGCTGTGATAATGAGAGGAGAAGGGGAGGGGGAGAACGGGTGGGGCAATCGACAGAGAAGTGCTGAACTCCTATTGAGCAAAATTCCCCCTGTTCGACGATTCACACGATGACATGTTAACGAAATCACTACAGTCGATTCAAACCCACTATTAGAAAATAGGGACAGAACTTTACGTTAACGAGTTGGTGGACAGACTATGCTATCCTACTTGGAATATCCTCACAAAAGGCGAAATTTAGCATGAAATTGACCACCTAATCAAACGAGCGCGCAGGGCTTTTGTCCAACTTCATGGAAACCCAGAGAATCTGTGACTAAACACCATTCTGTGGGTGCAAGAAGCTTCTGCAAAGGCAATCCCTCTATGCGAACGCGACACTAGCTCATGCGCTACGACGATACTCCTCGTCTGAAAATGTCCGACAGACGTAGCATGCGTCACATCCTCTGACCGCGTTTCTCCAACCTCGTCTCAATTGAGCTGCGCTACACCGACCTGATGGCAAAATCGTTGGTGCTGTCGTCTCACCCGGAACCTACCAACATTGTCGAGGCAGCCAACTAATGACCCGATAAAAGCTGTCTGGGAACGTATATCTGGCCCTTCGATCTTCGCTGCGCGCGTTTGGCATGCAGACTGTCCCAACTTTGTACGCGAATATGTTACCGACCCATTACAAAGTAAGGTAGTCATCCGCCATGCAGCTAACCTGTAGCGAGGGGCCCGTCAGGCCAGTAGTATTAAATGTCGCCATAATTTAAATGAATGGCATCAGGATACTCCGGGCGACAAAGGCTGTAGTTTCTCTCCACCAAACTACCCAGATGCGCAGAGGACCGCCTGTAACAATGTTACACGTTTAGGATAATTTAGAAAAGGCTAAAGAGCAAATCTGTTGAAGTAAGAGATCAGGTTGCACAGAGAAGTTGCACGTGACTCGTGAGGAAAGTAAATAGAACATACTGAGTCCCAGTGGCTAGTTTGGTATTTCAACCGCATGAGCGCTGGATCTAATTCTGCCATAAGATTTGATTCCTCAGCTTCAGTTACGAAGTTTGGG